GTAGCCATGGAGGGAAACACAAATGGAGCAAAGCTGCCAGGCTTTAAAAGGGGAAGAGAGGCAAAAGGCTGGAGTGATGTGTCCACAAGCCAAGGAATTTCAAAGGCCACAGAAGCTAGGGAAGTGGGTAGAGCTGTTCTCTTGCCAGCTTCTCAAAGACAGCATGGTCCCCACACCTTCATTTCTGAATTCTAGTATCCACTCTGTGAAACAAGAACTTCTGTTGCTTAAAGTCACTCAATGTTGCCACTCTTGCAGGAAATCCTGGGAAACCCAGCTACCCATTTATTCTCTCACTGATGGGTCCTGCTTCCCCTGACACCACCCCTCAACAGATTATATGTACTTGAACTTTCATCCCAGAGTCTGCTTGATTAAAAAGTGCGTTTCTAATTAGATGGTGAGATCCTTTTAAAAATAATGAACTTTCTTCTCTTTTGAATCCTTCTGATAGCAAAACTGTCTAGAAAGGAAAAAATGCAGGGAAAGGAAAAAAAAGGAGAGAGCAAGGAAAGAAGTCTAAAAAGACAGGTTCCAAGTTGATGTTAGGGAAATGAACCCTAAGATATGTATTCAAATGTTTTTTTCTTTCATGTGATTGTTTCTAACATGTGATTGTTTCTAACACGTTTATAAGATTATTTCTTTGTTGCTTTGTATGTCCCTCCACCTCTGCTTTCACTGTATTTCATGTGGTATAATTTGTGGAGGGGAAGAGAAAAAACAAATCGTTTAAATAGGGATACAGGTGGACCTATTGCAACAATGAGATGTACAAGTCGTTATGTTCAAAACGAACTTTACAACTTTGTGGGTGGGGAGGAGGATTGGTTGGGGGACAGTGGGGGGAAGATAGGAAGGGATGGGAAGGGGAAACAAAGGAGGAGGCTACAATGCTTGATAAGAAAAGTACTTATTATCTTGCCCATGTAATTGTAACCCCTCTGTACAGTATTTTCACAAAAAATAAAAAGACAGGCTCCAAGTGGTTTGTTGCATATAAATATGGATAAATGAACAGCTAACCTAGCCCAAACAAGTGAGGCTAATATGTAGGGAAAGCACATAAGTTTATGTTACAAGGATAGAACTGTCTCATTTCTCTTTCTGTTGTGTGTGTGTGTGTGTGATTGTGTGCACACGCGCGCACTCATGTACACACCAATAATGGGTCTTGAACTCAGGGCTTAGGTACTTTTTGCTCGAGGCTGGCACTCTATTACTTGAACTACAGGTCTGCTTCTGGCTTTTTGGTGGTTTTGGGTAAGAAGAGTATCATGACTTTTCTTCTCAGGCAGGTTTTGAACCATGATCCTCAGATCTCAGTCTCCTGAGTAGCTAGGGTTACGGGCACAAGCCACGGGTACCCAGCTCCTTCTACTCTTTTTGACAAAGTAAGAAATATTATAAAAAATATGAGTCCAGTAAAAAAATTTCCAGGCATTTTTAAAATGCTTGATAGACTGACACTATAAATTTAAATGCTACCCACTGTTGGTAGTCCTCTAATGCAGTTCTTTGTTGAGAGATTTACAGTGTCAACATTAAATTGTTTTCCTGCTACTCTTCTTAAAGGCAATACACAACTTATCTCTCCAGCTCTTGCTGACATAGCTGTACTAAATAACCAGACTTACACACATTCAAATGAATACATTTATAAGCTTGCAATTGTTTCTGTCTTTTAAAACAATTAAAATTTCCCTCCAGGGGAACAATGTGAAGATGTTATTGTGTTGTAAATCCTGTCTAGAATTACTGGCAATGCATTTAAACTATTAAATGTGAAAATAGTTTGACATGAGCCTTATGGAATGTGTATGTTGACACATTCACAGTTCTTTTTGTTTGGTAGTTGTTCTCTCAGATGTTGAAATAAGCATGGGAGAAAACTAGAGGAAGGCCTTGCAACATCAAGGCAGCCTCAGCCTCTCTCTGGCCTATTTTGTCTACATCCAGGTGTAAGCTTTGAGAGGAAAGAACCCAGGTATCAGTGAACAAAAAAGAGACTGCTAACCCATATTTTCAATGAAACATATTCTAAATTTAAGCACCTGTTTTTTGAGTAATTTAATCCTCAGCAACTGTCATCCTAATGAGCTGCATATACTTTTTCTGTTGTAATATTTTGAAAGTCATCTTTCACCTAAAATTTAACAACATACTACCTTTTGGAAATAATCTTTGTTTTGTTTTGATGTTCTTATTGGGGCTTGAACTCAGGGCCTTGCACTTTATTCCCTCCACCCTACTTCAATCATGGGGCTTGAACTCAGAGCCTGGACACTTGCTGTCTCTGAGCAATTTTTGTTCAAAACTACCATTTCAAGCCACTGCTCCACGTCTGGTTTTTGAGTGGTTAGTTGGAGGTAAGAGTCCCACGGGGACTTTTCTGCCCTAGCCTTTTCTGCCCTAGCTGGCTTTGAACCCTGATCCTCAGATCTCAGCCTCCTGAGTAGCTCGGATTACAGGTGTGAGCCACCTGTTCCTGGCTTGACTTGTTTTCCTTTCCTTTTCTTTTCTTTTCTTTTTTTTTGTCAGTCGTGGGGGCTGAACTCTGGGCCTGGGTGCTGTCTTTCAGCCCCCTACCACTTGAGCCACAGCACTACTTCCGGCTTTTTTTTTCTGCTTATTTGGTACTAAGGAATCAAACACAGGGCCTCAGGCATGCAAGGCAAGCACTCTACCACTGAGCCAACTTCCCAACCATTGACTTGTTTTTCTATGACTCAAGTCTAGTGCTCTACTGCTTGAGCCACACCTCCACTTTCAGGTTTATGCTGGCTAACTAGAGATAAGGTTCTTTCAAATTTGCCTTCTTAGGCTGGCTTTAAATCAAGATCCTTCAATGTCAGCCTAATTAAGAAGCTAGGGTTACAGGTGTGAGCTGTTGTGTCCAACAAAATGCTTTTCTTATAATTGGTATATGAAGCAAAATATTAATAAAGATATACCCTGGTACTCCATAGTTCCTCTTGAATTTTTTTTTTTGGGGGGGGGTCCGGCCTGAACTCTGGGCCTGGGCGCTGTCCCTCAGCTCTTCACCTCAAGTCTAGTACTCTACCACTTAAACCACAGCGTCACTTCCGGCTTTTTTTTTTTCTGCTTATGTGGTGCTGAGGAATCAAACCCAGGACCTCATGCATGCAAGGTAAGTGCTCTACCACCGAGCGACCTTCCCAGCCCTCCTCTTGGATTTTTTAACGGTGAGAACAATTAAAAACCAAGCTATGTCACAATGATTATGGAGAAAATACATTAAACAAGAAAGTCAAATATTTGATTACACACAGGCTCTAGAGTGTCAAATAATTTCATACCTCAAAAAAATCAATATTTTAAATACACATATCTGTCATGTACCTAATTAAATTTCAAATACAAATACAAACATCCATATCTCAGAGGATGTTAGTTATATAAAGCATTTTGGAATAACCATTTTAAGAAGTTGTACCACATAAGTGTGATATTTCAACCAAACAAGACTTAGTTATACCCTAATTAAGATAAACCTCAATCATAACCTAAAATAGTACATATTTGGTAATTTGAAAATCAGACAAGTCAACGTAAGTTAGTCTATAGTGGGGAAAGATAATTACCATCTTGACTCTTCTGTGGAAAGGGAATTGTGATTTCAGATTTTACTTAGGCTCCAAAACTGTGCTTTGGTATTCATGCATTAATGTCATGGAAGGAATTTGAGAGAGAATAGAGAGTAGCAGAAAATGGAGAAGTATAAATGTACCATCTATAATGTGAGAACAAGCAGACCCACTTGATCAGGACAATGGTACCCAGTGAAGGGTAGTAGACTATTAGGAAAGGAAAAGGCCAGAATGTACAGCCCTTGAATACTTGGTCACAGGGTCAGGAGAAATTTTGGGACAATTGTCTGAAACATCTTTGTTTTGATGCAACTGAATCTGATAAATCTGGAAGATGCAGCAGGATAGGAAGAGTCTTCTAGACCAAGGACAAAGTCAAAGACTTCCCATGGCCAGCAAGTGCTGTAGAAAGCAGTCTAGTTATGTTCTGGGTTCGAACCCCCACAAAATTTGGCTAGTCTGATTCATCCAGATTTTCTAGTTTTCCAGAAAGGATGTAAATGAAGACTTTAATAGGATTTTTTTTCAATTCCTAAATGTCAATTTATTAAAAATCATTTTTGTATTGACTTATTGATTGAACTTAAAAGCTGAATTAAGTCTATGGGCTGACAATTATCAATAGGACCATCTCTAAAAAATATCTTACAATGATTTTTGCATAAATTACCAAAGCCTTGTTTTGGACAATGGCATTATTACATGTTTGATATTCTTTCTTGTAGCTTAATCAATCAATAATTTAACTTTCAATACATAATAATAAGTTGAAACTAGTATGACTTAGAAATTATCTCAATATGTTTGCTAAAAATATATCAGTTATTCAAAATTATTAAATATGTAGTTTGTTTTTTAAAGGTTTCTAATGAAACTATACCATAGTTACATATCATGCTTATTTTTGTTCCTAGTTATATTCAAAGATTTCAAATTAGGAGCAGTAAGTTGAGAATATAGTATAGGTGGTAGGTATGTAGTTGTGAATGAAAATTCCTTTCCTATTATTATTTATATATTAAATAATTGATTACACTAGTAGTTGTATTTTAATCTTTTAAGTATTCAGAAGCCTTTTCCCCTCCTACAGCCAGTTTTAATAATGCAAATATTTGAATACTCATTATATAGGTTAAACTGGTCATGCGATACTTTAATAGTTTCTAAGCAATGACACTGTTTACATTTGTTCTACAGAGCAAAATTGTCTTCCTGATACTTTATGTCTTTCCTATCTGTGCTAAAGTTTTGTAAAGTATGTTCAGAGAATTAGGAATGCCTTTAACAAGGCACAAGATGAAGGAGTATTCCTCTGACGGTGTTCATATTTCTGCTGTCAATAATCCAGAACCTAGAAGAAGAAACCAAAGCATGAAGGAGAGGAAATACCAGTTTCTCTCTGGGCCTCCCTCTTCTCTGCTTGGAAATCTGGGAGCACAGACACATCTGAAAATGCTCCTGGAAAGCAAGGGAGAAACAAGACAGACTCAGTCAGGTGAAGATAAACTTGTGAACTTGGCAGGCAGCCCAACCCCAGAGGGGCTTCCAAAATTATGACAGGTAAACTCTATTCTTTAAAGTAGATAATCAAGACACCTGTCACTTCCTGTGTATCACCCATTTGTATCTCTGAGTCTTTTGTAAAGTTTGCTTTAAATAAGCAGGATGGGGTCAGCTCAGAGAAGCATTGGCATGCAGGAAGTCTGCACTGCTACAACTTCTCTGAGTGAAGAATCCTGAAAGGAAACATGGCTCTCAAGAGCAGAAGCCCTGCTTAGGAAGCCACACTGAGAAGTCTTTTCTCTTTATCAATTCTATAACAATACAACTTGATTTATTCTAAGAGAAAAGAAAATAGGTTCCCCTGTTTTCCTCTCATGGTGGGTTCCGTAAGGACCGATTATTAGGGGAGACTGTGGGAAATGTTTTGTGGAGAAATACTTAGTTATTTTCTAAGAAGCCAGGCAGTGGTGTTTTGTTGAGTAGAGGGACATTTGTGAGAAGAAAAATTCCATATGGTCCTTAGCAGTCACAATGGCCACTCCTGTGGCCAGTGTCTAAAACAAGGGGCTGCTCCTAACTAGGGTGAGCTTATTTCTAGTTTGCGAGGGAAAATTATGTTGTGTCTTTTCAAAAGTGTACTTGTTAGCCAGGCACTGGTGGCTTCATTGTAGCTACTTAGGAGATGGAGATCTGAAAATCAAAGTTTGAAGTCACCCTGAGCAGATAAATCTGACAGACTCTTCTCTCCAAATAGCAGCGAGAAGCCATTAGTGAAGGTGTGGCTCAAGTAGTACAGTACCCAGCCCTGAACAAAAGAGGCAAGGCAAGATCATGAAGTCCTGTGTTCACTGTCTAGTACTAGCACACACACAAACATACACTGTCTAATACTAGCACACACACAAACATACACACATACAAAGAAGGTAAGCACACATACACATACACACAAGGTAAACACACACACATACACACAGGAGGTATATTTGTGTGCAAAATAAATTATGTAACTGAAGAACCTTTAAACTTTAACAGGTAAGATTATCTTCCTAAGTGACACAAGTTCAAACTCACATTTCCCTGCAGTTAGAAAACACTTGCAATGATTTTGTCTCATAGCGGCACATATTTAGCTTGCTTATGAAATGTTTGAATGTTCAGAAGAAAGCCAGTTCAAAGCACATTTTCTCAGAATCAAAGAAAAGCCACTGGCTTAGAAGACCACACCTGTAATTTTATGTTTGAAAATATCTTAAGTACAGCTAAAGGAAAAGACTTGCAGATAATATTACACGACTGTGTGTATTATTAGAAAATATAATGCAGTTTATGACCTGTATTTTCTTTTTGCAGCTACTATAGCACAAAATAACTTTAGAGCAGAGATGGATAAATCAACACATGTCCTAAAATTAAGGATGCTTACATATATTCTCTACAGAGATGATATAATCCATTTACTCATTTCTCCTAAAATTAAGGATACTTACATATATTCTCTACAGAGATGACATTCACTTATTTCTCCTTAATTTTCCTATTTTCTGTTATTTTTAACTTTCAGGAAGATTTGTTTCATTTTGTAAATGTAAAAATGCTAATTAAATTTCAAAGTTCAGAATTTTAAAAAATGTTCTAGATCAAAAATCTTCTCATTCTGTAAATAAGTATCATATTTGAGATTTGTGGACAAATCTTAGAACTCATGAGGCTGGCATATAGACTTGAGCCTAGATCTGAGATCTAGTCAGTCATTCATTTATCAGTGTCAAAATATGAACAGCAAGAGTCACTTGTCTTTCCAGTTTGAAGGAGCAAAACAGAGTTGTTTCACTTATGTGTAACATGCATCACGCATGTGTTATGGTGCTTTCAAACTATCTCTTGGATTTGGACAAGAGTTTCTTCCCTGTGTTGCATTTACTTCATCTTCAAAAGATGGTTAACATCTTCCTCACATACTTGTTTGTGAGTCCTTAATGTATATGGAACACCCAGGGGGTGAGACACAATAAATGCAACTATTATTCTTATCTTTAAAAGTAATAAACTTTACAGAAATGGTGTCCTAAGATTTCTGTAAATTCTTCAGTTCTCAATTGTCCCTGTATTACTTCATAAAGAAGATAATATCTGGCTGGGTGCGGTGGTGCCTGCTACTTGGGAGGCAGAAATGAAAGGATCTTGGTCAGAGACTAGCCCAAGCAAAACCATGAGACCTTGTCTGAGAAACAAACAGGGCAAATTTACTTCAGCAGGCTCAAGGGGCTCAAGTTCAAACCCAGCATTGAAAAATAAAAAAGAAAGAAAATGAAATAAAATAATAAAAGAAAATATGCCGAGTTAACAGCTGTGTGAATCACTATTGTTTGATTACATCTACAGCATATAGTAAACTTCCTCATAGTTCCAAAGCATTTTTTTCTTTGATGTCTATGTGTTTTTTTTTCTTGTCTCAAATTAGCCAATACAACTTGCTTAATTTCTAGGAGTAAATGAATGAAATGTTTCTCACTTTAAGAGGATCACTGTGTATGCTTTTCTGAGCAAAGTCCATGAACTTTTAGAGATGCCAACGACACCGAATAGGTTGCGAGGTTTCCTGAGCTAAAATATTTACTACTACTCACCACCATAGTCTTGGTATAGAAGCAATGAAATCTGGGCCTAGTAAGTAATGAATCACTACAGGAATGAGGCTGGTTGTGTCTCTCTTAAAGAGGGAAACAAACATATATTCTTCCACAAAAGCTTATTTCCTAAGGGTCCAGTGAATCTCTATTTTCTTTTTTAGAAATTGCAGAAACATGAAACAATTTATACAATATATACTACTATATATTCACTATATACTATCTATATATAATGTATGCATATAATTATCTATGTCCATATATGGCATGTGTTAGCAATAGAGTGCCTGCCTGGTAAGCAAAGGCCCTAAATCTGAACTCTTTTCCAATTCCCTACCTTCTGTCCTTTTCTCTCCTCCTTCCACACACAAAAAATATTTGTTTAGTTTAAGATCATATTTGATCTTTTCTTAGATACATTAAAATATTTACTTTTATAGAATTTCTAGTCAAGTTGCAGCTGTTTTTTACTATGTGATTTTTTTTTTTTTTTTGGTCGGTGATAGGGCTTGAACTCTGGGCTTGGGCACTGTCCCTGAGCTCTTCAGCTCAAGGCATCTTTCCTTCCTTCCTTCTTTCCTTCTTTCCCTTCCCTTCCCTTCCCTTCCCTTCCCTTCCCTTCCCTTCCCTTCCCTTCCCTTCCCTT